TTATCCATCGAAACTGTAATCCACCGAAATAAGAAAAGAAGCCAGTCCCCACCGCGGGCCATTTAAAAGATATTTCATGCACCGGATTGGTTGTTACAAACATCCAATCGGATGTGCGTAATATGTGGTCTTTCTTCCTCTTATTCTTTAAAAAGGCCAGAGTGGCTGTTTGCGTTTAGTTGGAAGGGGGAATCAGGGGTTGATCTTCCCTGATTGGGTCGATTTGGTGATAGGGAGTATGATGTTGAAAGACCCGAAACTCCCTGATTAACCAAGTCAAAAACATCACTGACGACCCCCTTGGGCGCCTACTTAAAAGCGTATTTGCGAATTATTCTTCAGGTTGGTTTTGAATTCAAATCTTTCTTTCTGCTAAACTAGTCGCAGATGTAAGCGAGCCCAGATAACACCGTTAACAGCATGGCTGATGCTATCCTCCAAGAAAGTGACTCATTGCGCCTTCTCGTTCTAAGCTGACATGAGACGGAATTACTACATTGAATCCATCGCCAAATCAGCTACTTAGAAAATTGGTTCACTGTGTTAAGCGAGACAATTTTTCTCTCCAGATCTTGCATATCTATATCGGCCACACTTAGAATATTGCTGCCATATATGGTCTGGTGCCCTTGCTATTTTCCTGGATTTCCTCGATAAGATCCAAAAAAGAATCAGCAATATTATTGGTCCTTATCTGGCGGATCGGCTTCACTCACTTTCCTACCGCCGTAATGTTGCTTCTCTGTGCCTTTTTTTTTTTAATAAGTACTTTCATGGTAATTGTTCGGATGAGCTCTTCGCTATGGTACCTAGACTATATTGAATTTAAGCGCAATACTAGACTGGTGGCGAGAGTTCATCAGTTTACAGTTCAGCTGGCTAGATGCAGCCGTAATTTCTATACTAACAGTTTCTTATCCCGCAGTTCTATCTTGTGCAACTTCCTCCCGCCTACATGCTTTCCAACCAACTTTAATCTAAGAGAATTTAAAAGCAATGTCAATCGCAATCTACTGTCCACCTGAGTGATATTTTTCCTCATTCTCCTCATTACTAATGTTTCTCTTCTTAATTCCTCCACACCCTGTAAATCCCCTTGCGGGCTTGTGGTAGTGCTGACTTTCTCTTTCACTCTCTGCAATCCCTTAAATTTCTACGGGAATTATCATCTTGCTTGGGATGAAAGAATTAAGCAAAAATTATGTGTCACACTTCTAAGGTGTGGTTCATAGGGACGTAATGGAAGAAATCTATTGGGTTGTATCAAAAGTACGTGGTATTTTTCAATAGGTTAACTTTGAGCACGTGAATCCGTTTTCTACGTCACTAAAATTTATCTTATATATATATATATATATATATATATATATATATATATACTACGAAATAAACAAATTCCGACAATTATTTTAATATATTTTATTGCTATACGTTATTTATATAGACACAAATATTTAAGTAAATGCTCTGTTTATAATAAACAGTATTAACATTTTCTTTAATATTTGTGTCTATATAAATAACGTATAACATTAATAATATATATATTCTGACAGGTAACATTTCAGTTCCTCTTCCTATATGATTCATGTGTGAGATCTCAAAATTTTAAATGTTAAATGTAAAACGAGAGAACATTGCGGTACATTTTCGTCATTTTGCTGCTCTTTTATTTTCTAGTGAGGAGCAAATACGGCCTGCAAACAGCAAAATAGATATATGCCGTTTATGAAGAGGGTGCCATAGATGAGTTTCTAAGCGGTTTATTATGTTAAAAATGAGAATGATAACTAAATCGAAATGTTGATTGAAAGTAATCCATGTCATACGACACGGTATTTACTCTGTCTCGCCACTGAAACGAGATGTGACACAAGATCGTTTTTAAGGTGGGGGCCCGAGCGCGAACACCCGAGCAAGGAAGAAAAATTGCCCACAGCTCACACAACCGTCGGTTGCGGGGGCTGTGGGCGAGCACCAATCCCTCTCTCTGGTGCCATCAGAGGCCGCGGCCTCGGGCAGCTGTTCCTCAGGACTGGGCACCTCTCAGTATAATTTTCCTCAGTTGCCACTCTGTCCTTTGACGGAGTACCCCCCTGAGCGCACTCAGCCCAAAGACAGAGACGCAACTGAGAGATTTTAAGTAATGTGTTAGAAACTACTCCAAAGGCTCCATACGACAGGGGATATCGCAAAGGCTCCCTATATATCTCGTAAGGTATTTAAAAATGAACATCTTAATGCACTGTATTTCCACTTGTGATTTCTCTATCCAAATGCAATAAAAATGGCCCATTAAAAAAAAAAAATGAAAATAAGAGTTAAAAATTAATTGTTTACAACAATGAAAAGCAAAAAATGTCCTTGAAAAAAAAACCCTAAACGAACCGCTGTTAACCACACCGGAAATCAATTCGCATCTCTAGGTGATGCTCTGTGCCTGGTGGGATTGCAAAAGCATTGTTTATTAAGAGCTCCTTCTGAAAATGAAACATTGATTTCAGACAAGTACTGTTAGCAATTTGTCTGATTAAAGGAGCAGTCGATGAAAAGCTTCCGGAATTGGCTAGTCGGTAGGTGTCGTTTTCCATCAGCACAAAGCCATACATCGCGCCTCTTTGCATGCCTGAAAACAATTGGCAATGTAAAGTGGAGATGCCAAAAATTGATAAAAGGAAACTTGAATCTCCATTTTTAATATTTTATTCACTCCAATATTTCATCAGTTGCTCTCAGCCAAACTGTAAAGCGAGCCCCTTTGCCCCGGGTCCGACAAGAGAACCCTGCATTTCCTGTATGGCGTCTGCTCAATAATCACTTGGCGTTTGTTTAGAAATCCATCTTACCAATATTATCGTTCTCATGCTTGCACTACTAGATGCAGGAGTGAGGCACCGCACTTCTATATCCGGTAACCGGAAGTAACATCAGGTCAGCTCTGCAAATGTCTTCCTTTGACGGCCAGACTTGAAATAACATCCATAACATCACAGTACAGATTCGCTGCTATGTCCCACTACACCTGCCTGACTCAACTGGTGATGCACCTGCAGATTATCACTTGTCTCTACAAAATTCTAATAATGAGAATGACTTCAATTCTTTGGAAGCCTGTAAAACGACTTAAACCAATTCATCACCCAGAAAGATGCCAGTTTCTGTGAGGACAGAATCATGAAGCGGTATCCAACATAACGAAAAGTAGTGGAACAAAATGTGGTTGAATAAAGATATGTACAAATATCTAAATATTTTCTTTGAAATTAATTTTTAAAACGCTTTTGTTAAGATCCATTAGCGGAGTTTTGAAATGATAAAACTGAGAGGTTAAAAAAGCGAGTGAAATTATACATAAATAAGGAAATATATTGAACTATTTGCTTTATAAAAATGTTTTAAAAATGAAATTTGAAAATATTTTTATAAAAGTAATTTAAAATATATCGATCCGCTGCAATTTATTATTTATGTATTTCGATTATATTTCATTTCAATTTAAATTTGATATGATGAAAATATCCTAAATATATTTGATTGTTATTATTTTCAAAATTTATGATATAAAAATGTTGTCCATTATAAATGTTTATTGTCTTTAGTTTTTTTTTTTGTATTGCGTTTTTATTTTATTTTTTCCTTTGTATTTTTTCCTTTCAATTTGCAGATTTTTCCTCATATGTCTTTCATTCTCTCACACTTGATTTTCAAATTTTCTTTATCTTTTAATCTTCTTTCTTTCTTTCTTATACTTTTCTTTATTGCTTTTCTCATACCTTTCTTTCTTTCTTTTTTTACTATTGGGTTGGTGCATAATTATCAGGTGTTTATGTAGGCGAGTTATTTGTTAATAAAAATTGCTGTATTGTTTACTTTTTTTTAATAAAAATAAATTTTTATTTTCTGGTTATAAAAATCCGTGTAAATAATCATACAATTCGGAATAATCATTTAAAAATGTTATTGTTGAATTTTTATGTTTCTTTTTTTAATAATCAATATTGTTTAAAAAACGCCTGATAATTATACACCAACCCACTATATCGTTCTTTCATATAGCTTTGCTTCTTTGTTTGCTTCTTTGTTTGTTTGCTTCTTTGCTTCTTTGTTTGTTTGCTTCTTTGTTTGTTTGCTTCTTTGCTTCTTTGTTTGTTTGCTTCTTTGTTTGTTTGCTTCTTTGTTTGTTTGCGTCTTTGTTTCTTTGCGTCTTTGTTTCTTTGTTTCTTTGCTTCTTTGTTTCTTTGTTTCTTTCAAATACCCTTCTAATTTTCGTGTACTTTTCTTTCTTTCTTACCTTCTTTATATTCATTCTTTCTTTCATATATCTTTATTCATTTTATATACCTTTCTTTTTTTTCTTATACATTTCTATCTTTGAATAAAAATGACAATAGGAAAACTGGTAATTGCTGACGCGTTTCGTCCAATGTGGACTTCATCAAAGCAAAATACGAAAATGAAATTAATTGAACAAAGTAACTAATAAAAACAAAAACAGAATGTACCTAGCAACTGGTATTACCAGTTTTCCTATTGTCATTTTTATTCACTGGTTAAAATCTCTCTACTGGTTAAATCGGAGAAATTTTCATTTCTATCTTTCTTTCTTTCGTATACTTTTCTTCCTTTTTTCATATATATTTCTAGTTTTCGTATACTTTCTTTCTCGCTTTCTTTCATGTGCATTTATTTCTTTTATATACATTTTCTTTCTTTCTTTCGTATAATTTTCTTTATTTCTTCCATATACCGTTCTTTCGTCTCTCCACGCTTCGTGGCTTCAAACTATCGCGGTTATTTTTTTTTTATCTTTTCATTAAAAATCATATCGCTTTTCTTCGCTGCTTCGCAATTGACTACAGTCTACTACAGTGTTGGAAAAAAGTTCTTACGCAGATCTCAGAAGTAGACACACAGCCGATCCTTCAATTGATCAAGACAATGAAAATAATCCAGTTGTCTGAGTCAATTATACACTCCTGTATTAAAATTACTGTAGACCT